TCGCAGAGCCGCCGGCGTCTGCCTCCTCCATCGCAGAGCCGCCTGCCTCTGCCGCGATATCCACTTCTGGGCACCAGAGCACACGTGAGTACAAGTAGAATCCTTCCGATACACAAATATTTCACCCGAATGCGAATGATTAAGCACTTTTATACCTTTTACACTCTTTTGGACGGTGCACTGAAAGAGTTTTGCGTGATGTTTCCGTTTTCGTCTAATGGTCGCCTAATATTTAAATTTATTTTTTTCACAGGGTAAATAAAAAGAACCGATAATACGCGATAAACCGTATCGGTGCCAAAACTGTTTTACAAACAAAACTGTTTCCCCCTGCCCCCAGCACTCTCCACTTCTGTTTTCCATCCCTGTTTTTCAATCAATTTGTTATCCCACGTTCCCTCATACATTGTATTCCTGCTCTCAACAGCTCTCTCGCCAAGTCCATCTCCCGGCCCGTCTGGTTCCTGCGATCCGTCACCATGGCGCGTCCCGGATATGGACACCCCAAATCAGCCCCCGGGGAAATCCATCCCGAAACAAGATCTCGGTGGACGGAAGCTGTCGTTCATGGATCACTGGTACACTCTGCATCCTTGGATCCACTTCTGCCCCACTCGAGGGAAGGTGCTGTGTTTCCACTGCGCCCGGGCCAACGCGCTGAGCAGTAGTGTCCCGGCGAAAGAAAAAGCGTTCATCACCGAAGGCTTCAGCAATTGGAAAAAGGCACTGCAGAGATTTTCACAGCACGCGCGCTCCGAGCATCATCTGCGTAGCCTGCCACCCTCACGCAACTCTATCACAGGAGTAATAGAAACAGCTGACGCCAAGCAGCAGGAAGTCAACAGGGCAAACCTCATGAAGGTCATCACGAGCATCATATACTTGGCCAGACAGGGTCTGGCGTTGAGGGGTCATGGAAATGACGACGGCAACCTCATCGAACTGCTCAAACTCCGAGCATGCGACAGCGAAGAGCTGGAGCAGTGGCTACGGAGAAAGGAACGCTATCTGCACCAGGACACGCAGAACGAGATACTTCAGCTCGTCAGTCATGAAGTTCTCCGCAACATCATATCGGGCATGCGCGACGCCGTGGATGGCGAAGTACCCGACGTGCCGCCCTTCTCGGTGATAGTTGACGGCACACAGGACATCAGCGGTAACGAGCAACAGTCGATTTGCGTGCGATATGTGGACAATAGGGGTACCCATTTTTCCCGATTTTGGAAATTTGAGGGTGGGGGTGGTTTTTCCCATTATTTCGCGGCTCCTGATTCCAATGATGCCAAAAATATTGAAATCAAAGGTGGTTTAGGGGTCGCGAATTGAGATTGAAATTTGCGTATTTACCTATAAATATGCCTATTTTACGCTGATAGTAAATCGCACCAAAGGCAAACTTTTTGTTTGAAAGTCGGGTAAAGGGGTCATTGAGCGCTCCTTTTTCATCCAGATCGATGTGCTCCATCACGTGGTTCCGGTTTAATGCCTTACTAGCGATCAATGCAAGTCGATATTGCAACATTTGGTGAAAAGCGCCGTGATGTTTTGCTCCTGTTGTTGGTATCATTCTGGTCGGCGTGTAATCATTTTTGATATCTTCTGCCTTCATGTGACCTTTGGTGACCTTTGGTATTGGTGACCTTTGATGGCCTGTGAGGTCAAACTTAAATATGACGTTTCAGTTGCCACATCTCAGTTCGTGACAGGCTTTTTGTGTCCATACAATTAAAGTTTCCGCAAATTAGCTCAGGATACATCTCACAAGTTATGGCTCCGAATGGACTTCAAACCATGTAATTCAAAAACGATCAAACCATTTTGACCGTATACTTCCACAAGACACGCCGTCCTGATCGCTGACCACAGGCGGCGGAACGGGGAGGGCACCGGGGCACCGTGCCCCCCTTTGATTTTGGCACTTTAACATTAGCCCTAGGGGCGTTGCATGGAAAGAATGGGACCAAAAGTCGGCAGTGCCCCCCTTAATTGAAGGTGTTCCACCGCTACTGTCGCTGACGGCTACGATGAGACACGTATGAGACAACGTAGAATAAATCTGGGTGTTCTACCCAAAAATATCAACTTCTAATCCAAAAACATAAACTCCAAAGCGTCGATTCTTTCCATGCCTACCAACCATGTACCTACTATTCCATTTATTCAGTGGGGACAGATACCAGTACACGTCTTAAGTGTAAGAGTTTCCGATACAATGCACATTGCACATCATTTACGACTTTGCATTTTCGACCACGGGCGACTAGCCATGCGCTGATACGTGCATAGCTGATAAGTGACGAAGACCTTTCACAGCTCCTTGCTTAGATCACCTGTGATCTGAGGTAATTGGCGTCTGAATCTGAAGAACCTAATGAAGCAGATTTTCATCCTGCATGGGCCGTATGGTGGTAACCAGGACGCGGCGTCATATAAAGGAGTGTGCGTGCAGAGGCTGAAGACGAGGAGAACTAGGTCCGCCACCTACGGTCCATGGCCCACCCAACGTGTCGGCCCCGGCAATGCCAGGAGTCAGTAAACGGATCTGCCTCGGAGTTGGCTGAGTCGTTTAGACTTGGCACCTTCCTAATTTCCAGCTTTAGGCAATGCCATTCGACTTCAGTTCAGCACCATCTGAGGGTTTGGACTGGGCCTGTAGAGTGCAGCGTAAGGTCCGTTATCTTGCAAGGATGCTGCTGGCAGCGGCCATCACCAGGCACTAGTTCCATGACATGATACCTGCACCCGTCTCAAGTCAACAATGTGTCAACAGTCTGAACAAAAGTCTGTATGTGGGTGTGGGTGTTTGTGGGAGAGGGGCAAAGCTACACTCATACAGCAGTCACCCAACGGCGCGGTGGTGTAAAGCTTGCGCCCCTCCCTCAGCCGTGTCTGCAACTCCGGGACTATAGGGGAGGTCGGTTAGCGAATTGGCAAGGTCATGCATACCGGCATAGCTTCAGTGCTGTTTTCATCTCGTTAAAGATATAAATAGGCCATTAACAACTTATTTATCTACTTCATGCCATATTTCCGTTACAATATACGACAAACGAGTTATATCGTCACATCCGTAACGGCTTTTAATGCCCCTCCCACCCAGATTGTGTCAATATTCATTGTTTACGTCCTGGGGTTCAGTCATTTCTTTTGCTGAATAAGACGACTCATTGAAAACTAAATGGTCCAATGAGAAAGCTTCGATCACTGATTTGAGCCCTCTGACTACATAGCCAGTCGTTCTAAGAGTTACGGTCTTGTGTATATGTGGGTTCTAATGACGGTCTAAGCCACAGTGAGTGTAAATGAGCATATGCTGTTCATTGACCAAAATGATATTTTTGGTGCTCCCTTTTACCGCTGCACGTCGAATATACCTACAACTAAAGCAATGTTTCACGGTGTCCAACAGTCATTAATACCACTGCAACACATTCAGGCTTTGCGCATTTATATCCATTATCCATTCATATGAAGTCATTTTTCCAAGTAAAATTAAAACTTCCAATGCAAGCTCGCGATCCCTAAAAGTGGTCTGATATCGTTATTTCTGTCACTGCTAGATCCAGAACGGAGCAAATAATGATAAAATCGACCCCAAACCGTTGGCATGGTAACTTTGTCCCAACATAAAATAATGTTAATTTGGTCGATTTTCCGCTAAAATTGACCTTTTCATTTTGAATACCTACGTGACCTCAAGAAATAGTTTGGTTTCGTTATTTTTGGCACAGATAGAATCAGATCGGACCAAATAATGGGAAAATTGACTCCCACCTGTTAGCATGGTAACCTTGTTCCAAAATAAAATAGCATTAATTTCGTCGATTTTTCACTAAAACTGGCATTTTTATTTTGAATTCGCGACCCCTAGAAATCGTTTGATTTCGCTATTTTTGGCACAGATGGAATCAGAATAGACCAAATAATGGGAAAATCCACCCCCACCTAAAATTTGAAAAAATGACCCAAAAATGGGTACCCCTAGTGGACAAGGATTTCAATGTGCAAGAAGAATTTCTGGGATTCTACCAAGCTCAGTCAACGACTGGCGCCGACCTATCCCGGTTGATTGAAGATGCCCTCAGGCGTCTAAACCTACCTCTGACTCACCTTCGAGGTCTGGCGTTCGATGGGGCCGCGAACATGGCTGGATGTGTTCGGGGAGTACAGGCCATTCTCCGCGAAAAACAACCCAAGGCCCTCTTTGTGCACTGCGGCGCGCATTGCGTGAACCTTGCAGCCAAGGAAAGCTGTGACGTCTCGACCATGCTCCGGAACGCTCTGTACACCATCAACGAGGTGGGTCGACTGTTCGCCGAGTCATTGAAGTTCCGAGAGAAGTTCGCTGAACTTTGCGTGTGCGAAAACGAATCGCCGAAGAAGCTGCGGCCACTGTGTCCTACACGGTGGACAGTGCGACTCCAGGCTGTGGACGCCGCTCTCGACCGCTACGACGAGGTACTGAGCACTGTGGAAGAGCTGGGTGCCGGCCGTACTCATGTAGCAGCGAGAGCCGCTGGTCTACACGCGCAGCTGCGAAAAAAATCAACTCTTCTGGCGCTGCACATGGCGCGTGTGGTACTGGCGCCACTGGATCGCCTAAACAGGGCCGCCCAGGGCTCGCGCTGCACGGTATCACAGCTGATGAGCAGCGTCCGGCTCACCAAGGAGCTCCTGCAGGCTGAGCGTGACAACGCCGACCACACGATCCAGGGGCTTTTGCGAAAGGTGGAGGCGTCCAGCTGTGATGCTCCCATGACGCTGCCTCGCCAGAAGCGCGTCCCAGCCCGGTTTGCGGGGGCCGGAGAGCAGCACCACGCCGAGGACCTGCCCCAGTACCTGCGGGAACAGCTGCTGCTGGCGATAGACTCGGCCTGCACGCAACTGTCGGACCGCTTCGACCAGGAGGGCGTCCGGGAACACGGCAAGGTTGAGAAGGCACTGTTGTCTTCCCTGAACGTGAAGGAACTGGACCAACTTTTCCAGGAGAGTCCATGGAGGGAAGATATATCTGTCGCCGACCTGGCACCGCAGCTGCAGGTGCTGTTTAAGAACAACCGTCCGGAGAATTTGGACGCAGCGAAAGCTACGGTGGCTGACCTTGAGGAGAGCGCGCGGGCCATGTTTCCGGACGCAGTGAAGCTGGTCCGACTCCTGCTTACTCTTCCCGCGTCGTCTGCGACCGCTGAGAGGAGCTTCAGTGCCCTCCGTCGACTGAAGACGTGGCTGCGCTCCACGATGGGTCAGGCGCGGCTGAACGCTGTGGCCGTCTGCCACGTTCATCGGGACCGGGTGGCCACTGTGAACGCCGACCGAGTGGCGGCCGCGTTCATCAGTCTCAACGCCCGCCGGGAGCGTGTGTTTGGCCGGGTGTAGAGTATGGACCGTAGTGGTAAAGTGGGAGTAGAGTTCGTGGTCGAACACGGCTGTTGATTCTTTTGGTGATCAAAGGAAACTTAAGGTACCTTGTATTCTCAAAGCAGTTTGGCATTGTTTCCAATCATCTTTACCACGCGCATCTTACTGGGCCGCGGGGAACGTACTTGCTGACGCTGATATTTCTGAAAATGTCACTGCGAAGCCTGAACAATATATATCAGACACTCTGCTCTGCCTTTTCTGGACAAATACCGATAGTTAGAGCCACCAATGTTTTTGACTTATAATTCCCTTGTTATCTTCCCATCACAGTGATAAGACCGAATGGAGCAAAATGACGTACCTACCTACCTATCACTAGGCATTTTTTTTACACGTCTTTCCACTGATCCGTCATCAAAGAGACGGCTAAAATGCGTCCCCCCCTGTCAGAAATGTGTGGCGACGCCCCTGATTATCAACATCTCTCAAGAAAACGATCCGAAAATACGAACACACAAATCGGAAGCTCATAAAAGCAGAATTCGCACTACGGTTCAATGAACAATATATATATATATATATATATATATATATATATATATATATATATATATATATATATATATATATATATATATATATATTATTGGTGCCAATCGGAATTTCTTTTCTTGGAATTCCAATTTTTGTCCAATTCCAATTTGGAATTTGGACGGAATTCTTAACATTTTTTTGGAAATTAATCGGAACACAAGGCCTTTAAAATTTAAAATTTTTAAACGGAGGCCTTTAAAACGCTTTTAAACACTTTTAAAATTTACGCAAAAAATGCAAAAATCGTTAAAAATTGGAATAGCCCCCGCTTTGGACAAAATTGGAAATTTACTTGGCAATTTCTTGGAATTGGATCGGAATTGGAATTGAAATTTCATGAAATTGGCACCACTAATATATATATATATATATATAAATAGAATGTGCCTTCCATCTCAATCTTATTCCATTTCAGGAAGTCCAGAACATTTTCAAAATGTATAACTACAAACCTCTGAATTAGTCTCATGATGATAATAGGCATCACAAATCCATAGCCTCCACCACTGATAAGGCTGAGATTGTTTGGTGGATATCAGGCTGTAATTTGTATTTGAGCAATAATCGCCACACAATTTGTATGTGGATCGCTCTTAAATGTAAATACAAATACAAATACAAGCATATGTCAGCAGCAGGGTCATTATACTGATACGTCAATAACTGCTTGGTAGTAGCAAGTTCAGCAGAAGTATTATGCAATATGCATGCTGATACCCAGTGAAACATAATTCAACTCTGAATTTTTTATTGAAATGAAAAAGCAATCGGAACATTGTATATAAGTTATTACATTGTTTCGGTAGGTATCTACCTACTTATTTTTGAAACAATATGAGTCAAACTCAACATTTTCCCTTTCCACTTTGCATTAGTTGTCACCTATTCAATATGCATTAAATGGAACATGGTATGTAGGTTTTGACTTACTTATTATATTGATAATGACTTCAAGAAGTGCATCCACAAACCAAAACATTACCATGCCCACCGACTCACCAGTGTCAGTCTGAGTCAGATCTGCAGATAGCAGGTGCCTAATGCTGAAGGTAGCCCCCATCAAGCTGGACACCAGCCTAGATAAAAGCTGAAAAAGAAAAAAGAATGAACTTGCCTGGTAGTGGTCATCAAGTTGAAGTGCGCGGAGCCGGGCGATGGTCTGCATGAAGATGGCAATTTGAATTGGCATCTTCGTCCGTTTTTGACGTGAATTTCTTTGCTTCAACGGTCAAACTCAGGCTCACTGTATGGGTATCCAGAATCGCACAATGAGCAAAGCGTTGAATTGTTTTTTGAAATTTACTAATATCTTCAATTAACATCGAAAACTTGCGAATTTCACCCCACACGGTCCACACGGTTTATATAGCCTTGGTCCACACGGTCCACACACTCCCGCGCCGGCGCTTAGCACTGCGTCTATTTTGTCTTCGATGCGCAGTATTTGTCTTTGTATGCACACGAAACGTGCAACTAAATTTTATGCGCGGTAATTAATGCTTTGAACTTTTACTATTTTGTCATATCTAGCAAACCATTGACTGTTATGCAAGATCTTAGTTAATGAGTACTTATTCATCCTTGAAAGACGACTGATAATCCATTAGGCTTGAAATATAAAACAATCGATTATGGATGATGTTAGAACCATTCAACTGTCAGGTAGGACACCGTCAAGCTACAGTCCGAACTAGAGGTGGAAATGAATATTAGTCATTAGTCAAAAATTAGTCGACTAACGTTAGTCAAACGCTTTTTTAGTCAGTCAAAAGTCAGTCAACCAAAATGTTTGTTAGTCATTAGTCAGTCATTAGTCAATGATTTTGGTGCATATTAGTCGACTAATTTGTCGTGTTTCGTGAGGTGACCTAACCCTCGCATGTGTAGGGGGGGGGGGGGGTCGGATGGACCCCCCATGGTTTTTCACGAATAACTCGCGCAAAAAGCGGCCGATCGCGACAAAACTTTCAGTACCCTCGAGTTGATCAATTTTACACCTACTCTTAAAATTTCATGACCCCGACCCAAATGACCTTTGACCTGTAAACAGATTCTCGAGACCATGTTCGGCCGGAATCGCGATTTGGCGTATGTCAGCTCACATTATCCGCGCGTTTCCAGTCTTTTTGTGATTATAAACTAGAGATGCACCAAATTTGCAATTTCATTACCCGCCCCGCCCCGCAGCTAACCCTTGCCCAACCACAACTACCCGCAAGCTGATTTTGGCTGAGCCGAACCCGCAAAAAACCCGCAATTTTAAAAACCTGCCTTTGCAAGGAAAAAATACAGCTGGGTCAATGCTAGAGCTATATAAACCTTACTTGCTTCATTGTTGTGCAGAAAAAGACAGCCAAACAAATAGTAAGGACTTGAAATTGCTATGCTATGTCCTCAGGAAGTGCACACTGGTTAATGGAAAACGAATAATGCATCAATACATTTGAAATTCCTTTCTGAAAAGAATTCAGTAAACTTTCTCTCACCTTACCCTTCAGCATTGGCTGAGGATCAAAATTTCACTCTGGTTCCTCTCAATGTTAGGCTTCTGGAATGATACTGTTATCAAAATGAATGTTGATATAAAAAGATATGCGATTTCCAGTTAAAAATAAATAGTGACACGGTGAATAGGTACTGAATAATGCGTATCCAGTCGATCTACACATAAAACAAATCATGCAAAAGCCCAGCAAAAACCAACTAACCAATGAACCACGCATTTTTGGAAACATGCGTCAGAAGCGTCACCAACAGCTGATTGCAAGGAATGTTGCAGCGACTAAATTATTGCAGCCGTAGTTAGTGCGAACTTGTTGCGAAAACACCGTTGTATAATGCATATTAATGTGCCATTCTGATAATATTATTTTACACAACAGCTAAAGTTTTACAATTCAGAGGTTAATCACCGGTTAGGAAATAAAGAGACAGTAAATACTAAATAAAATGTAATAATTTTATAGTTGGTCTTGGTAATGCTCTCCGGCTGATCCTCTCTCGGCAATCGGCATACAAATGATAAGAAAGTAAAAAGACAAAAGAAATGCGACCAGCTACGTGGTTTTGTAACATGTATAACTGCTATTTTGAGGTATTCAAAAACCAAGACGGAAAAAAACTGATTGTAAAATTATTATTGCGTCATCAATGACAGCTTTCTTTCGCCTCAGAGACCAAAATTGACGCAGTCAAATGCCAATCCTTGTCAGAATGTCGAAAGTGCGCCAGTATTGTATTGCGTTATGTTTGGGCCGCATGCCAGTCAATATTTTTATTTTTTGTAAGGGTAATTGCAGGTAATTGGTGTGTTGTTTTCGTAATATCAATATAGGGTGGGACAGAACATAGAGTAGGATAGGTATTAGGTAATCAATGAATTTGCATCAAATTTTGTTTAGCTCTTTTTATGCCGACCAGACGCAAATAAAGTAACATGTGGCATTTGCTCTGATTTTCAACATCAACATCTCATTTTAGTCTGGGTTCTTCCATAATGTATATCTAGTGCACACTGCACATAGACTTCAGTTCAGCTTCCTATAAGTTTGCTTTCAGGTTATTTTATGTTTATTGAATGCTTTCATCAGCATTTATTTATGCTTTGTAGTTTGTTGTTTGTACCCTGAGGGCTGTTCGGCTGCGCAGCCAAAATGAAATATGCTGCAGCACGCATGCGCAGTGAGGACTGCGTCGCCCGTTAGTCCCGCCCACACCACTGCGTCACCGCCTGTGTGACGTCACCTACTGAAGCATGCTTCGTTTTCCTGCAGCACGAAATTCGGTGCTGCAGGAGGCGAAAGTGGCGCGGATTAAAGTTTGCCATCCAATATTTCTTATTGCAAGCGGTTTGTATGCTGTTTTTTGGGTATCATTATCACTCTTTTCGGTGGCACATTGCTATTAACCACATTTGAACGCAATTTAACCGTTATTCGAGCGAAAATCACCAGTCCACCCGCGCAACGGTTCGCCGCGTTTGAAATAGGCTGCAGCGACGCTCGGCCGCGGCGTGCCGGCGGAGAGTGGGCGGAGCCAGGCGGTTGACGTCACCCAAGTATGACGCACGCAGCACAGATCTATGCTGCAGGGACCCGAACAGCCCTCTGGTTTGGTCATTGCTAGACTGTGGATGCTATTGCTGGTTGTTTTCAGTTTTGCATTTGAAATGTGCTTCCTTGATATATTTTTATATTTGGTTCTGTTTTAAAAGTTGTTTTGATGAATAGTGTATTGTTAACCTGAGCAAATGCACTTGGCATTGTGTTTTGCATCTAAAAAAAATAAAAATAAATTTATAGGTTCTAAAGTCTGACCGCCAAATACCCGCCACACGACAAGTTTTGCTTCTCGAACCCGCCAAAAACCCTGCGGGTTTTGAAAACCCGCAGAAAGCGGGTTTGCGGGTTCAAAAAGGGCATCTCTATTATAAACGTCCAAACATCTGAAATGATGTTCGTCCCACGCACTACGGTGGGTGTCAAGGTCACCTGAAGGTCAGGTCAGGTCATTGACCTTGGATGACCTCGGTTCACTTTTTCGATTTTTACATGTTTCTAGGGTAGTTTTTCGGGCTGATTTTGAATTTGGCATCCATTTCAACATTTACGAAGTAGTTTTAGTGGCTTTGTAACATGTTACGACGCCGTCAGTGGTAGTTGACACCTACTATGGATAGCCGGCAGGACGCCTACTGGTTGACCTGACCTGACCTGACCCGACCTGGCCTAAATGCATGCAGACATTATCTGTGATCAAAACTAACATGAAGTTCGTGATCAGCACCCCGAAAAACCCCATAACAGCTTCACTTTACGACGAAACTCTAGCAGGTCCCGATTTTCCCGACGTTTGGGTCATTGACCTGACCTGGAAGGTCAACCAATGATCTAGGACCTTAAAATTGGGTATCATCGGCTTCCTCTCGTCACGGGCAGCACGCTCGTTTTTTTCCCGCGAAGCTCTAGCTTGATCAGGGGCCGAACAGCAGGGGGGGGGGGTTCAGTCGACCCCCCCTACACATTAGACGCTGGCAAACGCCGCACACATGCGAGTGTTAACCCGCGCCCCGCTGGGGTCGCCGGCCGAACGCGCTCGGCTGGAGGGGGTAAATTTTACCCCCTCCCCCTGTTATCTCCCGAACCAGGCGTCGTAGTGGCCGACAAGATATCTTGCGCTCGCTTCGCATCGCGGTGGCCATGAAATAATAAGGGATAAAAATAAATTTGGGATCGATTGGTGTTCTTCCAGTGTCGATCAGACGTCTAGAAGTTAACATATTCGCGAAAAAACTTGCTTTGCTTGTAAATTCCGAAATTTAGTCAAATATTAGTCAAAATCGAGAAAAATGGCGTTAGTCATTCATTAGTCAGTCAAGCTTTTTGAGACGACAGATTAGTCAGTCAAAAGTCAGTCAACCAAAATCGTCATTAGTCATTAGTCAGTCATTAGTCAAGATTTTGGAAAACGTTAGTCATTTCCACCTTTAGTCCGAACAGGCATTTTTCAGCAGAACGAAATAACACACGAGTGCATCAGGTGGCCCAGTCAGAAGTCAGAACAAAACATAACAGACGGTGAGTGAGTCGCTCGGAACAGCATTCCTACTCAAAGGCTCCTGACGAAAATATCATGGGTTAGCTCTTGTGGGCCCCAAGCAACGTAAAGTAGCTTAGGAGGGATGACAGCCATTATGTCAGAGTGAGAATATTACGGAAAATTATATTTCGCCATCTGTGTCTCACTGCCTCACGGTTCGCCCCAGTGCCTGTGATGTAATGACTGAGTGATATCACTACACGTCCGATTCGTCACACTTGCATTACGTTGTCCTTTCGTGTCTGTCGGCTTCTTTGCATAAAGCTTCCTTTGCATTGCGCACGATTGTTAGGGTTGCGGTTAGCTAATGCTCAAAGAAATATAATAGATATTACGTCGAGCAGGTGCGCCAACAGTCACTACACTAAGGAAACAACCATGATCCATACAACTTCACCAGCCTGCGTGAAAAGGGCACCGAAGAGGAATGGAGCGGACATCGGACATGAGGCTGGGCACATTAGCTGTGCTCCCCTGCCTAGCAAAAGCGGGCAAGAATGGACGGAGTAAATCGACCAAACGAGATGGTGGCCAACAGTTAAAGGGACCCTCCCACCTTAACATTAGATTTGAGTTGAGATAGCCAAAATGGGGTCCCTGGCTCACAATTACCGGTTTCGGCACTCACAACATCGATAAATGCCTTAAATCGGAAATATTGAATTTCAAAATTGCAGCATTTTGATTCAGAGGGGCTAATGCTTAGGAATACCCCTCTGAATGTGTGACGTCAGCGCAGATATCTAACGATTTTTTCATGTTTGACTAAAACGTTTTGTAGCACGCGGTGGTATATGCTGTATGCGCGCAACATCTGCCGCAAACGCCGCACTTCTAAAATAAAGTCGCTAGAAACAGCGGAGATCCCAAAAAAGTAAACAAAAGTAAAAGTCTAATATCTTGAAAACCGGTGAATATTTTTCGGTGAAATTTAGTAGATATTCGTTTTCGCTCTTTCTGAACCGAGCGACATCACTTTCATGCCGATTCATAAACTTTTTTGAAGGTGGGAGGGTCCCTTTAATTAAACACTTATCGTAAGTGTGGATTCTATCAAAAGTCGCCTCTAGTAAATACGGTTTGACGGTCTGGGTTTGACCTATAAGTCGCAAAAAGCCAGGCAGGCCGTGGGATGTGGGTAGAGGCGCCGTAAAGCCGATGCATATTGCGTAATAAATATGCCTGAGAAGCTCCCTGTTACATTATTTACATAGTACATTCTACACAGTGGCGGCATACCCCTCACATGCAGCTAAGAAGTGCCAACGACATATTCACATCCGCTCGCATGATGAATCTTCTGGCTTCCTTCATGTATCGGTGTAAGCATCATGCATATCCTCACGGGATTCGTCCACTCCCTTCCTTCCGGTCGCGGCTCACGACAGTGGGTCACGAATTCCTCACAGCCACCGTCACATCTGTGCCACCCATCGCGTCGCGTGCATCTGATCCGGTGACGTCACACAAGAAATACAGGCATACATAATCAGTTAAGTGAGACTGAAGAGTCATGTCTTAATAGTTAATACCCAGGTAAATGCTTATTTGAAATTGTTTTAACGGACTTTCACTGGGTAGTGGGTAAAAGTTATTATTGGTCCCGGTACTCTGACTTGTATTGAAAAGTCTTCGATGGGGCACACATAGGTTTAAAACAGACAAAAAATCAGGTAGCCAAATAAGCATACATAATCGTTACACCACCGCCGTCGGCCGCTGGGCTTCAGTGCTTACAAAGAAACCTCATGACATTAGCACGACACAAGGACGCTTGACGCTAGGCTAGCCCGGCGACACCCTACGGAACGCGGTGTCTCTATTCACCTAAATCTACACGTAACCAATGCGTTTGGGAAATAGCTATGTATGTACCAAGATTACTTTGTGCATGCGTGTTTGCATTTTTCGTTATTGTACGAACACAAAACAAACTTTATGGGCATCACTAACACGAAACTTCTGATGAAACAGCTTGTAAAATATGAAATCACACGTTTCCTCGCATAACGGATGCAAAGATAACCTTTATAAATGTTCCAAGTATTAAGTATGGTTTCTGGTTGGACAGCACTCTGCTCGAGCTCGACTCCATGTTAATTTGCCTCCTTGTATCGGGCCAACAAAGCAATGATAAATTCAGATTAGTGCAGTGAGACAGTGAGGCAATGCCCCGTCAGCATCACCAGACCACCTGTCTATGTAGGAGTCGCTGGACAAATATGCAGGAAATCGGAAACGAAGAGAGCCGTAACGAACGAACAACGTCCGTAGCCTGAGCCCTGACGACAGCACAGAGATCTGTTGAGCCGACAGGAAGCCACATCAGGGTTTATCACTAGCGTCTTACTCCAGTTATTTCAGATGTATGATATGTAGCTACACGGTGATGGCTTTGGAGGTTTATGGAAGCACGCACGTCTGTAACAAAGGTTCCATATGACGACATGAAGTTCCGGTTATTTCATGACAAGTTCCACGTGTATGATACCTACCGCGACAAGGTGTATGACTTATTCAACATGAATTCAGGCAGTCCCAGATCAGCTATGACTTGATGGGGATCAAATGCTTTGTGTTGAGATTGCCGCTTGCCATTGGAAATCACGTCCGCTACCGACATAAATTACGTCATCCAACAGACTATGCCTAAATCCACAACTTAACGGCGTTACTAGACGAACAAATTAAAAAGTAAACAAGTGGACAAAATTTATGAACTTATCCCGCTATCATTTCTACGCAGGCCAAGAAAGGGAGCCACCACGAAAGCAAATATCAAATTGCACAATGTGTCATGTATTCATATAACACTATCAGAGGTATCTTGGCTGCATTGTCACCCTACCCTCGTCCCTGAAAAATCAAAACAAACCTCACAACTGGCCACTCAGCCTCTAACAACAATAGGGTCCCCTCACTTATCAGCCCAGCCCCACATACTAAAACAGACATCAAATCGTTCATCTCTGCCCTAATCAGACACCTCCGACCAACTGGCCGGCAGGGGCGAAACCGTTCGTTTTCCGTTCACATTCGGCGGCTGCTGACTCCCCGTTTTGCGTGGCCTCTCCCTCCACTCTCGCCCCGTCCTGTGTCATTTCTGTCGCCCCCTTCTCCACCATCACCGACGCATCGTTCTGCTCCCCCGTTCCCTTCACTGGCCTGTCCTGACCTACCGTTCGCTCCTCCAGCCCCACTGCACACCGCTGGGGGTCGGTCTCGGGGCCGTGCCGGCCGTTTGTCGTCCCACCCGAGATGTCCTTTTGCGACGTGTGACCGTCGCCACTCCCAGTAACGGCGGACACTGGCTGTCCAGCGGACACCGGCTGTCCGGCGGACACAGGGGACACCAGGCCGATGTCCGTGGGCAGGCCGCCGATTCCCAGACATAGGCAGCAGGTGAGGGCAGAGCCCTGCTCGGCAAACTTCTTATTCTTCTCCCTGAAATAAGGGGAACCAGTGAGCGATAGCTCTAGCAGGACGCGCATAAATACTCGGAATGCCCCAACACGTAAGTAGGTATATACTATGCATTATTTTGCTGTAATGTTCCGGGGAGCGCCAACAGAAAACGTCAAAAGTTTGATGAAAAAAAAAACTAAAAAGACAGCTGACAGAAAGACCAATGACAGAAAAAGATGCGCTCAGCCGCCACAGTAGTCGGTGCCGGGGTTCTGACGACTGTTCCGTGTAAAATCAGCGAGGCAGTACTGCCAGCATAGGAGGCCCGGTATGCAGCGGTGGCACACTGGGAAACTTCCCGTCCCACGCCGGCGGCACGGCGCTCGATAAGAGTCGTGTTTGGACAGACGCCCGTTACAGCCCTGTCCTAATATACAACGCTTCGGGCCGGCGCTGGTTACTTATCACGATGGTCGGCACTCAGATTCCACGTCATAAAAGGTCATTGGAGATTGAAAAAAATACTTGACGTAATTACACAGCCTTTTTCCTGACGTGCTAAGGAATGTTTTTATTGAAAAGAAAAATAGGAGCAAAGTATTGCTAATAAATTGCAAACGCTAAATTGGTCCCAGCCAAGTAAATGAGAGAAATAATGGGGGTTGTCATGCTACACATTATTACGGGTATCGTTTGCAGTGAAGCGCCTGATTTATCATCGGTACTAAAAATAATGCAAAAAATAACCCTCATGAATAGGGTTTAAATGTGATTTTCCAAACATTAGGCGATAAAGCCCGGCACACGCTGGAACAAATCCAGCATTAGCTGCATCATCGTCGTGAAAAGACGCGGAAGGAAAACGGCGCTGAGGTCACATCAGGTGCCGCCATCGGCATCGTGTTCAGTGGCAAAAAAGACTGACGTCACGCGCAAACCAGTGACGTCACGACACGCACGGAGGGCGATGATGTAAATTGTTGACACATAATAGCGGCGACTGAGCATTATAGCCAAATCATCGCGACAAATTAGCCTTATTAGGAGTTATTGTGTCCAACAAATTAGTTCCGCATATGAAAATTTGAGCACGCGAGCGTATGATAAAAACAATGTGCAATTAATTAGTAGTACCGTATATGACGTATGTAAATTGATCATTTTACCTAGAAGACCCTATTATGACAGCACCGAATGGGGAAGACCTTGAATTGGTGACCCGTGCCAGTCATAGCGAAAACTGGACCTATTTGTCGGCCAATTTCCTCCAGTTCCGACAGAGGACCGGTAGAGCGAACTGACGGAAGGTGCCAGTACACTAAATACAAACACAGATTTGAGCAAACACCAGTCTGAGGGTAGCCCATGACGGGAAAGTCTAGATTCCTGATGCCATGTATGTTTGCCCTCTCCAGGGTCGGTCACTGTGCATCACACAGGTCCAGAGAAGCTAGTCGTTGTGTTTTGACTGTTGAGCCCTTGTGCCTGTACTTACTCAGTACACAGCACACGTTTGTTGTGTACTGAGTAAAGGAAGCACCGACAGACGCCACGACTCTCAGAGTTCGACACTTTGGCCGCTACTGCGTCACATTCGCTGCCAGTGCGCCAATGATCCCCACACTGCGGGATCACCAGCTCCCAGTGCAGTGATGAAACCCGGAAACCGGCACCCACCGAGCGCCCGCACGCGGACGACACCCAATACGAGGCGCAAACGGCGAGTCCGCGGCGGCACTCGATCACGTGACCGTGACGTCATGATACAGAGTACGTCATCTTTGCCGGCCTTTTTAGAGCACATGACCAGTACCAACGCTGAAGTTCGGAGAAATCCACGCTGACTAGCAAACAACGGGAATTCCACGCTGCGAGCCTAAGTCATCGACCGAGGAAGGTACTGGTGCCAACCATGGACCAATATCGAAATCAAAGAAGCAGCGCAGAGACCCAGGGGTGACATGCGCAGTATGACCGGCCGCTTTCACGGTCATCGACGGGAATTTAGATCGATACCGGGTAATCCACGCTCAACAGCCTAAATGGTCGCAGACGATTCGCGAAACCCTGCTAGTAGCGCCAAAAGGAAACAGGAAACTGAGTAGAGAAGTTGTACTATGATTGACTACGGCGCGTGACGGCAAGGGGTCTCGATCCGGAGACACCAAAGCCAGCAATGGGCGGGATGGCACCCGATACTGACAACTTTTCATCACAGCGTGGGGAATTTAGAAACTCAGGGGAGAACGGAAGGGGCACGATATCACAGTTCCTAAAGGCTGAAACAGACTCTTTCCGTGTTCAGGAAATCGCATGCGAGAGCCTATTCAAATACATTATAATAGGGTTGGGACCTATCTGCATGCTCTGTATGTTTTGGTAAAATAAAAAAGCTCAAAATTTTTAATGATTTAATTTAAAATCACTTTGTTAAAAAAATGCCTAGTTAGTTCAGAAATTAATTATTTGTGGCTGAAAACAACTTGCTTCTGATTGGTCGGGCTAATCATGACGTCACATGTAGGTATATAACTGTCTGTATATTTGGCGCAGTTGAGACATACATTTTCTATGTATTTTCCTATGGTAAATCGTGTTTGTCGTGTTTTCAGTGTCTCTTTATTTTGCGCTGGTATTGCGTGGCTTAGAAGTTTTATCAAGAATGGCATATACCTACTAAAATGTTCCTTTAATAATGGAGCTTCAATATCTGTGAGTTTTATTGGCAAGCGAAAACTGATTTCGCTGTTATTTTATCTGGAAATTACTCATTTTTTTTAGGTCAATATTCAAAATATTTTACGGGAACAAGTTGGCACTTTTCTTGATTTTTGCACTCAAATCGCGTGCGATTCAACTATAATTGGAACTTGCAAAGAAGCTTGGTAATTAATTAACTGTGTTGTTATGGCACTGTTTGCAAAGCATGGATAATGAAACTCAGCCAAAGACTTAGCTACATAGCAATGCCTCAAGTAATACGCAGGAGGGACAGAATTCAGAGTCCGATCGAGAAGAATCGGTGCAAATGCTACAAAGACCAGGCAGCTCTGATACAATAGCTAGTCGTCTCACTACTCTCACTCCATTAGACCAGCTGATTCCTGACAGCACCGACTCGGATGCAAAGATGGAGCTCATCTTCCAAGCCAGAAACCAGTTATTTGATGGAAGATGTGATGCTGCCTCTGTCTCTGCTTTGTTGGCCACTTTGGACGGGGCGGAGCTCCGCTCCTTGCGTGAGCGGTTATTCGCCTGTCATCCAGAAATAGTTCCTTCGTTTGCTGGCCGTTCCCTGATTAGGTGCAATACGGGGAGCTGTAATCAGGGAAGTAACTTTCCATATGAAAGGGGTGCAGGTGCACCCCCGTCCCCCATCCACTAGAAGTGCACCCCCATAGGCTAGGCGGCGCCCCACACGCCACCCCACACGATTAGCTCTAGAGCAGATGGCGAGGGTGATTTCCCGGCTACATTCCATCTCGGCGTCGTGATGCTTGTGCGCTTGGAAAGCGTCCAGTCGTATGTAGGGTAGTGTAGGGGTAGGGTTGAGTTTAATAAGGTCCTTACATTTGAAAGGTTTGAACAACCCGCTATCAGCACAACATACCACAAGTTAAATAAAAAACTACCAAACTCCGCCCAACTAATATTAATAAACATTACAGCCAAACTAATGGCCTAAATAAAAATATATCTCAAATCCTAACAGTTATCGCGGGTGATGGCGCCATGAGTTGCTATTATCCAAAACAGATGCAAATAAACATGTTTGTATGTCCTATGTATGTTTGTTTTAAAAACGTTGCAGCGGCGCTGGGAACTGCAGTCTTAGATCTGGGTATGTTTGGCATCTGCAACTCTTCATATACACATTAACCCTTTTTCGGACGGGGAGGCCTTTCAGGATTTTCTTGTACAATTGCCAAACGCCGCGAGACATTCAGCTCATATTTGGTGACTTTTCCTAAATGCTCATTGCGCACATCTCAGCAAAAAAAAAAAAAATGCCGGGTCAGGTCAGGTCAGGTAACCAGAGCGGGTTTGTTGACCCCACCTCAGAAAAGTTTGCAAACACGTCAGAGCTTGAGTTTTTCACGAAGTTATTTCCTCTCATCAAGTCTTCAAAACAGTACCTGCAGTATGTGTCGTTTGTATATCTCAGAATTTTTGATCTGTGACCGGAGGTTAGGTCAGAGTCGTGACCTTTACATTGCAAGCCTATGGAAAAGTATTGAAATGCGACCTGCACCTCGAGTAAACGAGTCAAAACCACCCAATTCTTTAAGAATTATGGCAAATTTTCTTATCTGTAATGATCCAGGTGCCATTTACTGACAGGGACACCGGAGAGGGTTATCTGAGCCGAGATCATGTGAGGTGATATCTATTATCTACCATACATCAATGCTCACAATACTTACAATATTGACAATGCTTTTGCTTACTCGAGGGCAGCGCTTTTCGAGGAGCGCTGTGGCCCGAAGGTTTGGACTTTGAATTGTGAAAAACGCCCGCCCGCCGGAAAACGCAAACACCGCAAAACGCGCAAAACGCACGCCCGAAACGCCAACGCAAACGTCGCAAAAAATAAACAAACGCCCGCCCGCCGCAAACCGCAAATAAAAAACGCAAAAACGCCGCAAAACAATAAAACCGCCCGCCAACCGCAAACAAATTTAACACCGCAAACGACGCAAAAAAAAAGAAGAAAACCGCCCGCATCGCCCGCCCGCCCGCCCGCCCGCCGCCAAAGACAAACACCGCAAAAAAACACAAAACGCCCGCCCGCCGCAAAACGTAAACACCGCAAAACGTGTAAAACGCACGCCCGAAAAGCCAACGCAAACGGCAAAAAAATCACCCGACCGCCGCAAACCACACAGAAAAAAACGCCGAAACGCCGAAAAAAATAAAACCGCCCGCACCGCACCGACGCTAACTGCTAACCGAAAACGACTAAAAGTCGCCCGCCAGCCGCCAAACGCAAACACCGCAAATAAGCGCCCGGCCGCAGCAAGATAATAATTTATCAGCGG